TATATATATATATATATTTGATATATATATATATAATAAATATATATATATCTATATATATATCTATATCTATATATTTGATATAAACTTGATGTAATCATAATAATCAGGGGCTTCAGCTTTCTCCACCGGTTTCAGGAAAGGCTTAGCACTAGCATGAGTCTGTAATACACAGGGAAATTTTTTTTATAACAATGCTAGTCTTATTTAGCTAATAGCCATTTGAATCAAATGTTTTCTGTATGAATTTTATTGAGAACTTCTCTTCACACTCGACAAACACTTTTAATTCAACTACTGATATATATAATTGTTAAAGGGAAAGAACACTGATAAAATAATTAAAACTGGTAATTCAATGCCAAAGCAGTTATCAGAAAATCAAAATGCATACCTTAAGACACGAAAAAAGAGATACAGTTAAAAAGAAAGTTGTCAGGTCCTATCATATCAACAAAAGATGCATTTAAATAGTAATGTAACTTTAAAATAATATTTACCTTACAGTGCTGTAGAATAATTTTAATGATGTTGTAGAGTTGATCAGAGTCCAATGCAGGTTCCTTCCTAGAAACATTACACAACATGGCATTATAATATCGTCATCTGTCATGTCCGAGTGTACAATGTAACAAACAGGTTAAAGTGACATTATGCTCATCAAAGGGTATAAAGTGAGTAAACTAATGAAAGTCAAAATTAGTTTATATTTTGCCATAATTCCTTTCATTTTGATAATTGTTTTCGTATTATAAAAATATATATTACAAATGGTTCAAGGAAATTTCTGTAAATATCCATCAGAAGTTACCAATAAGATTTAATTTAAAATAAGAGTCGGGCAGTCTTTTTATATATTAGGCTGATTAATAATTTATCATAACCATTTTCGTATATCAACTGTTGGTCAATCACCATAAAAACAGTCAATCTATTGATGTAAAAGTCAATTTATCTCAACTTGACAATGAAAGTATGAGCATTTCCCATACACATGGCAAGAAGTTATAAATGTAAAATAAACCCTGAATATTGCATTAAGTATTTTAAATTCATTGATTTCATAAAGATAAAAGAAAGCTTTTCAGAGTATAAAAACCCTGAAATTAAGGAAAATACCTAAAAACTTTTAACCATACATGCATCAGCCCTAACTTTATATTTTATTCAAAATCTTTGTGCCTTAAACTTCATGATACACCTCTCCAATGAAAAAATAAAAGGTCTTTCTTTAAGTGTCAAATACAGAGAAAGATGCACTTAACAAATAATACGTACGGTTTATCAGGTGCAGGTCTCCTGCCACAGTCTTGAAGACCATTCTCTTCACTTATTTAGACTAAAGCAAGTCTGCTCCTCCTTCGAGATTGACTAGACTGTTCACAGTCGTCTGTCCGTTTTTATACTTTTATCAATATGTAATGTGATGTAATATAATATAACAGACACATGTATTTTTGTTTGCAGCATTATAGCAAAAAAAAAATCTTAATACAATTATATTATATGAAATAATATACACAGTTGTTTTATTTTATGTAATATATACCTAACGATATTTGTAACATGGTATAAAGTGCATTGAAAGTAGGTCCGTGGGAAGCATTTTCAGATTGGAGTGGGAGGGGCTAACTTCTCTCATTTTCAGATTGGAGTGGGAGGGGCTAACTTCTCTCATTTTCAGATTGGAGTGGGAGGGGCTAACTTCTCTCATTTTCAGATTGGAGTGGGAGGGGCTAACTTCTCTCAGTCTGAGGTTTGTTTCGAGGGAAAGGAGTCGGACAAGTTTTTATATTACAAACCTAATTTACGTCTTTGGGACCTCATCCATGGAAAATGAATCCGTGTATTTAATGGTGACTTCTGTGTATTTTCAGATGCGAATTTTTAGAATACACGTTATTTTACAATTCCCCCAGAAATTTTAGATAGTAACCAATACATGTATAATGATATCACACACTGTTTTCCTTGGATTTGTTTACGCAACATATGATGCTGAACAAAATACATATATCTAAGCACCTAAAGAGTTCATTTTTGACATGTTTTTCAAATACATCTTAGATATGCTCCCGTATTATCTAACTAAAACGGTTCAAAATAACTGCTCCTTAGGGGTAATTATAGCGTGACGTCCACTATACAGTCAAGTTATCACGAAAAGGGATGTACTTGACAATTAAATATCTGAAAATGTCTAAAAATTTACCAACTGTCGACGTTACATACTAAATGTATAATTATTATGTATATCTAGCAATTTGGTGCGACCATAACGAATTGCATACACATGCATATGTTTGTACACACATCGCATGAGCTTTATTATAAATTATAAATTGGAATAAAATAATTGTGAATTATACTATCCGTAATTCTATACCTGTACTGCGCATGACAATAATTTAGAATTACCGATGTATTTATATGAAATTTGATAGACATTATTGCCGACCTACTGTCCCCCCTATATAGTTAACAATTTTAAACCGTAACATTAGCAAGGACTTTAAAATTATTTAAGCGGAAAACGCTTGTCAGATTTCTGAAAAAAATCTTTCTTGTATAACTTTCCGCGGATTTGATATCAAACTTGATGCTTATTTGTAATAGATATTATGTAGATTAGTAAACATTATACCTGTAATATAATTATAAAATTCTCCTCTGGAAGTATGGAGGCTATTCGTTGCCAAAAATCCAGCCTTTGAAACTTGACAATACATACTTCGGTTCTACTAAACAGATTAGTAAAAATCTAATTGTCGATCCGAGAGTTACATACTGCACTTGTATTAATCGTTTTGATTATCTCTATTGATAAAATTGAAGCTGTTTACATGCAACTTAGCTAAATTGCAAACTGCATTTAGAAATGTATAACTTTAAATTTGCGACATGTAGAAATGTTAACAATAGAACGTCACAACACGTTTAATGCTGTGCATCATGACGTGTCAACTGCACCAGTTGACACTCTCAGGTTAACAACACCACACTTTCCTTTTACATTCTAACGCGATTTACATTTGTAAACGATTTAGCAACTTCCATATATAGAATTATCACGCAAATAGAAGAAAATTAATAGGCGGAGCCAATTTTCACGAAAGCAGAATATAAAGAGAGGTACTAGTAACTCTTGCTGGTACAAAAACATTACAAATTATATAAAACTGTTATAAATTTCATATACATTAGCTGCATTACAGTTGACTTTGATTTTGTTAAGACGTATTCTAGCACAGGATATTAAAGTAATGCAAAATTGGTTAATATATATTGTAACAATGTAACAACGTTTATACTGAAAATGAGCATAATAATATGCAAAAACTAAAGTTGGTGAATATATAACACAAAGGAATGTTTCCCATATATGACGACACAAACCACATTTGTATTTATCGACAGGATTTTATGCCTTCAAACGTTACAACGGTAGTATACGAAAACATGTCGTTTACATTCAGCAAACATTACTACAATGCGAAACAATGAAGTCACTTTTGGCAACAACCTGAACAAAAAGCCCGTGCCTTCCTTCTTTAAAGGGCTATATTGGGTTGTAGAAAAACCCAAATGTTTTACCATGTGTTTAGCTATGGAACTATTCAAAGGTTTCTATCGATAATTCCGTTGTATAACCAAAATCTTTTGAATGTGATTCCTAGGTTCAAAAATCTAAAATCATAAAATTCGTTTTTTACACAGATCAGCTTGGACATGTAATACAAGAAGACATGCAAAATATAATTTAGAAATACGAGAAAATGAACTGAAAAGCGTATTTTTTGTGCTATTTTGATACGATTCTAGTTAAAAGCGTTTAAACGCTTTTCCATTTTGGGTCATTTTTCACTATTTGAATAATTATCATGGATAAAGCGCAAAAGCGAATGGTCTAAAATTTTGCACACAAGTTACTAATCTAGACCTACATCAAACTGAGCATAAATCTCGAAAAATTATTTCCAGTTTCGTCATGTCAAAAAACCTCAGCGAAGTCCCTTTTAATATTATTATAAAAAATGGTAATAATGGGAAAATATATCTATAGAGTATGGTAAAAATAAAAAGTTATGTACGAAACGGTACATCGACTTTGGTTTTAATTTTACTTTTGTTAAAAGGTTTTGTTTTTCTTGTCAAGTTATACACTAGAATAAAGGTTAATAGTAAATGCTTCTATTTGGAAAGATAACAGCCAGAATTTGGTCTGTATTAGTAATTAGTCGTATCGAAATCTCTAACAGATGTTGAGCTGAAAATTTGAAAGTGGTTAAGGTAGCAGCATGACTGTCAATGTTACTTATTCCTATTCCAATTGAAATCCCCTCAGGAAAATTTATCTGTCGTTGAATATACAGTAGTCTTATCAATAGTTATTACTTCCTTTAAAAATATTTAACCTCAGACAGTAAGTAACCTGGTGAGGAGGGTTTTTTTCTTTCTTTTTTTTCTAGGAAATGTGATATCTACAACGTTTCAAAACTTATATGCCTATAATCATTTAAAGTCCGCTGATGTTGATTGAATAAAGGCATACAATAGCAATAATGCAAGTGAATTATGTTGGGTGAATAACTAAACACCTAAAAGGTGTGGTAAACGGAAACTACGCCGGTGCGTGTTCTTGTTTCCTTCTTAATACCGAAAATGAGCGGATAAATACGTCTATTTACGATGATGTAGTGGGCGGGAAAATGGGCGGAGCTTATTTTATCTCCTATTGAAAAACGTGTAAAGCTGGATTATGCTGATCCGAATCATGACGGTTCGAGAATGTAACTTTTGTTTTTTCGGCGTATACACGAACAATGAGTATTCCGCATGTTATGATGAACACTTGGTATTGCTACTATCAGAAAAACAGTTAATGTTGTGTCGTTTAACAAAATGTACAAAATACATTGTTGAAATACATGTTTACAGTGTTAAATCGGCAAACTCAATCCAAAAATGGAGTTTACATACAAAGAAATACAATTGTATTTTGTCTATAAACAAACTGATCGAATCCGATCAACAAGGCTGGATTTTTGGCAACGAATAGCCTCCATATGGATAAGAAAAAAATACACACACCTATCATCTTGCAGAAAACGTTCAAATGCCCGGGTAAAGTACCTGGCCAGCTCATACCTAACATGACGTGCAGTTAGTACATATACGATTTAGATTCACCGTTTAAATAGCGGATTATGAATTTGTCAAAAGTTATGCTAGCATTTTGTTTTGTTTGGATGTTGTGTGGGTCCATGACAGTCGAAGCCTGCGAGTTTTGGTATGCACACAATTATCTATTTTACATTGTATTTTTAGGGAAAATAACACACATGTTTCATTTTACATCTGAACTTTTTTATCTTTGTGTAAATAAACAATTCATTTATTACGGTAACTAAAAATGTAGACTGATAGACTGTTCTTGTTTCACTTGGTGAAAAAAAGAACATAACAAGTTGAAAATTGATGTGTAATTCATCCGATTATATCTATTATATCAGAAAATCCATCTATTCTGTTAAAAAGAATTTTCATTATATTTTTGTGTTTCTCTTGTTTCTTGCTTCTGATAAAGCGATTTTGTAATTCCATTACTCTTTTCTTGATTTGAATTTTGACACAAAAATTATTGCGAGTTTTATGTTAGTTAACATAATAGCATAATTAATAAGAAAACATAAACGATTGAAACAACTAAAACACAGTGACGTTTTGAAGATTTAACAACTCGTAACGAAGTAGATCAGCTTTTTTTCCGTATGCATGCGCTTGGCTTCTCTTCAGGAATCCGCGACGTATTTAAAAAAAGTAAATGCAAAATTGACAGTCGGATTTTTAAAAAAATAAATTTATGTCTTCTAATGGGATACAAAAGTAATACAAAGACAAAATTATTTTGTTTCTGATTAAGCGATTACGTTATCCCATCATCGCTTATCTCATTCCAATTTGTATCAAGGAGTACATCATGTTTTGTTTTTCTTACAATACAGATAATGCATCTCATCGCCAATGTCCCCAAAGTTACATTTTGGGCACTTTCTTTGCTCATGAGGTTTAAAAGATTGATTCCAACAACCCGTTTCTACTGGGAAACGATGGTTAGCAGTACGGAAATGCAAAAGAGATAACCTAAGGGGGTGGGGGAGAATATTTAAATAACATTCTAGATTAAAACTGTTTTTAAAACTACCATAGAGTCTACCTTTGTTGCGAGAACCATTCTTGTTTATATTGGTCGATTAATGTTTGTTTAACCAATTTGTTAATACTTTTAGCTTGGATATTATTTTGATTTAACCATAGAATAGAATTACCTGTAGAGTTAAGTATACTTTTAACATAGTTGATCCATTTAAAGTTTTGGTTAGACTGTATCATATACTTATAACACATATATGAAATCTTTGATTCCTTACACTGAGTAAGTTTATTCCAAAAATTTATCATACGAGATTTGATGTTTATTTAGATAGGATGGCGCCCAAGTTCAGCATATAACATGTACCTAGGAGTACTTTTTCTGGTATTAGTTATCTTGCGTAAAAAATTGGAATGGACTTGTTCTTTGATATTTAAATTTTCGAACCCCCATATTTCACTTCCATATGTAAGAATGGGGAGCACTGTATGGTCGAATAACTTTATTTGTAGGTCTAAGGGAAGGTCAAGGTTGTTTATTCTCATATATAGAACATTCATGGCTTTGTTTGCTTGTGAAACTAGGTGTTTCCTACACGCAAGAATTGAACCAGAGCTAGAGAAAATAACACCTAGATACTTATATTCCGTTACTGTTTCGATTGATTGACCATTTATATTGAAAGTGTATGACTTGGGTTTATTTGTGCCAAAGACAACTACCTTAGTTTTCTGAAAGTTTATATTTAATTTCCAAGTCTCGCAATATTTGTGGAAATCATTGAGACAGGACTGGAATGATTCCTGATTTTCGCCTATTACGACCGTGTCGTCTGCATACAGTAATATTAATATTTTTAAAAACTGGGTAGTAGCGTCAATTGTGACTCCATTATTGTCCTTATTAAGGGCTACTTCTAGGTCATTTAGGTAGATTGAGAAGAGCACCGGCGATAAATTCTCGCCTTGTCTTAGACCTATAGAACTTGAGAAAAAAGCAGATGTTTGACCGTCGGAGTTTATACAAGATTTAATATTAGAGTACATATTTTGGATGACAGAAAGAATTTTTCCTGTAATGCCAATATCAGAGAGTTTCCTCCATAGACCTGTGCGCCAAACTGAATCAAACGCTGCAGAGAAATCAATAAATGAACAAAATATTTTTTTCTTTTCTGCGCGTAGCTTAGAGACAAGAAAATGAAGTGCAAAAATATGATCACTGGTCGAATATTTAGCTCTAAATCCAGCTTGATTCTCGTTCAAAAGGTCGTTTTCGGCCAGAAATTCATTTATTCTCTCATTTAAAACCGAGGTAAATAACTTCCCGAGGCAACTCAAAATAGTTATTGGTCTATAGTTACCTGGGTCGGAAGGGGATCCTTTGTTTTTATAAATTGGCTTAATAGCTCCTACTAACCACGAGTCAGACATGACTCCAGAGTCTAAAATCATATTAAAAAACTGACGATAAAGTGGAGCCATTATTGATTTTGTGTATTTGATATTTTCATTTGATATACTATCAAATTGTGACTGAGCCTTGCCATTTTTTAATTTTGAAATAACTTTGCAAATTTCTTCTTCCGAGATTTCTCTATTAAGTGCATTATTATTTAAAGGGTTGGGGATTTCAGAGTTGCCTGATAAAGTTTCGTTTGCATCTTTTCTTTAAAGAAATTGAAAACTTCTGAAATATCAGGGGGCGTTTCAGTTTTCTTTCGTGAGAACTGGTTTAGATAACGCCAGTAATCTTTCTGTTGATTGGAGCTAAGCGCACGCAATTTTCGTTCATTATTATACCTGTGTTTACATATAAAGGTATTCATGGTTTGTTTATAGTATTTACTAGCAGTTTGTAACCTAGATTTATTCATGCTATTTTTGTTTAACTGGTAGGATTTACGAGCCTTATGGTATAAATTTCGTGCACGTTTGCACTGAGGCCCAAACCATTGTTTATGACCATTTTGAACATTAGTTGAGGAAGGTCGACTGGTGAGACCTGTTTTAGAGGGTTGAAATGTTAACTTTGCGGAGTTAAGAAATATCTTTGAAAATTTCTCAGCAACTGTATTGATGTAATGTTTATTGTTTTGGTCAGAATTTTTGTTATCTAACATAAATCCCAACTCTTGCACAGCTTGTAAATCAATATTTTCCAAGAATTCACTGGATTTACTATCATCCCATTTTGGCAATTTATCTTGTGATTTCCTAGTGATGGGTTCATTGGGTGACACATGGGGAAATTCTGGCATAGGGATAAGGATATTCATTGAAAGTAGACAATGCCCGTCGGAGAACAGGGAATCAAGCTCGATTATATCAAATTCATTTAACAACAATATACAATTTATGGTAGCAATGGAGTAATCAATAACAGTTTTACCTCTAAAAGTACATTTTCCTATTGACTTATCACAACCAAAGCTACCATTTAGAATAAACAAATTGTTATTTTTACAAATTTCGAGAAATTTCTTACCATTATTATTAATTTTACTACACTGAGATAATCGATAACGTGGAATATTTATTTTTTCCAGCTTATTAATTTGATTAAATGAATCTAAAGTAGCATCATCAACATTAAGATAGGATGATAAAAAGTCATCAAATTCAAGATAATTTGGTAATGTAGAAGTATGTCCGTTTGAATCTCTAGTTATCAATACAATTTCGTATTTACTGCATTTAACAGAAATATCATTTTGGAAATCATAGAACTCGTCATCATTAAAGAAGCGTGATTGATCTGGCGGTACATACATGGAACCTATGATGATATTTTGCACTATGCCCTCTATATAAGTGTTAACTTTTAACCAATAAATGTACTCATTTTTAGAGTCTAAAATCTCTATATATTTAACAAAAGAATCATGTACGAAAAAACCAATTCCGCCAGATTTTCGTTTACAACTTTCAGTCCTTGGTTTGGAAAAGAAAGTATAATTTGGTACAGATATAATGTCATTTTTATCTATTTTAGTCTCAGTTACACACAAAATTGAATACTGTTCTATCATGTTTATGAATTCAGGATACTTAAGACTAGTTTTTAAGCCGCACACATTAAGCGAACCAATTTTCAAGTTTCCATGAAATGCACTGGGGATTTGATTTATAAACGTACTATTTTGGTCACTCACGATATTTTTAGCATCGATCCTTTCTTAGATGTTTGTGTTTGATTTATGTATTAAAGAAAGATCACAATTTCTAAGATGTTCACATACCAATGTTTTAGAGGAGCATGGAATATCCTTACACTGTTCACAGAAGTATACCACTGACCCCGGGTAACAGTAGTCTGTAAAATTGTCCTTACGGTTGCCAGAAAAAGGCGCCGATACAAGTGTGGAACCTTGGAGTGGGGCATGTACTTCTAGCAAATAACCTTTTGATGTGTGTGTTGTACCTATCGGAGATGACTTCGCAGATTCTTTGTATTGGTTTGGGCTCGTTGTTCGTATTATGTCATCGCTTTTGATCGAATCAGTCTTCCTCGGTAAGGGCCTCGTCACGTGAGATTATAGATGATTTCTCAGCTGCTCTCGTGTAAGTCTCGTTGACACGTGATTCCACGTTAGAGTTACGTGAGCCTCGTAGAATTGAGTGCCATCCAGGGAATAAATTGCGTACTGTTTCTCCGTTTACTTCCAAGGCAGCAGGATACTTAAGACTGACATTTCGGGGGCCATATTTTGACCTCGCATCCTTGTAATCGTGCCATAATTCTTGACGTGCTTCACGAATTTCTTTCTAGTAATCCCGGGATAGACCAAATTTAGTGTTCTTTAGTAGTTTGGCTTTCTCCATGATGCTATCTGCATTAGATTGTTCAGAGAAAGATTCCAGTATTGGACGAATATAAGGTTTGTCCGGGTATTGTTGTCGTTTAGACTTTCCTATCCAAATGCACGTGATATTCGCATAGAACTTTGGTCTAACTGCAGATGATCATTAATAAAGTTCAAAACAGATGTCACACGGTCGGTATTTCCTTCGGGGATACCATGAAATAAGATGTTATTTTTTAAAAGACGGGCCTCCATATCAATGCTTTTATATTCAAGGAGGCGTAACCTTGAATTGTTGACTTCGTTTGTAGCAACCGTATGATACAAATTTTTTGTTATGCAGTCAAGTTTATAATTCACTGGCCCAAATTGAACCATAAGATCAAACAAACAGTTCATTTTCTCACTTATATCTAGGGAAACAAAGTTCTCCTTCGTAGGCAATGATGTATTTACTTCATATGGGTGGGGTGATTCTGCCGACGTGGCGAGTTTTGTCGTGCACGTTTTCTATCTTGTCTGGTAGCATTATTATGGAATGAAGATGATTTTTTACCTTTATTAGCCATTGTATCGGTATTCAAGACACTATTTAATCCTTTTTACAAGATTTTACTACGTTGTAAGTCCGTTTTTTTTTGTTCATTCTAAAAAAATTCACTGAGCGATTTTTAACTGACCGCCATTGACCATTATCCATAAACCATCTTTAAATAGCTGCAATCTCATTGGTCCAAACATTATGTATATACATATATTTTTTTGTGAAATAAGAGTACTTAAATGGTTTTATTTTATAATCTGTATAATAATGCACTCATATATTCAGAGAGAAATATATCTCATTTTTTTTATTATTGAAGCTTTGACGATGTCTCAAGCGATAAAGATTTTAATTATTTCGTCCAACCGTTCTATAGTAAAATATCTTGAAATTTTTTTAACAACTGTAATGTAGGTAATGATGAAAAAAGTAAAATAATTCTTCAACTGATGAAAACATATTTGCTCTTGCTGTTCTTTAATAATATTTATAACTTCATCACTGGCGCTATCACTTAATTTACGGATGATCGGTGAAGAAAAATGCTCAAAGACAGTCATAACTTTTCACAATTTTCTTCAGTTATTTTTAACAAATTCTTTTTATCAAAATAAAAAAGTTTTTGACATAATATTAAAAAAGCATAAATATCAAAGGGAGTTAAGGCTGAAACCATGTAGCTACTCATACTTGAAGAGTTATCTTTCAGAACTTTGAAAAATTGAAAGAGGGAGTACAAATTGGAAATTTTACAAATCACCCTTGGAAGTGTTTGTTTACCGTCATAAATATATGACGAAAATTCGTACAATTAAAAGTAAGTTTAATATATATTTGATAATTTATATTTAATTATCATGTATACATGTAGACTACAATTTTCGTTTATTTTCCATTAAATTGTAGCTGTAGTTTTGTCGTAATTTCATTAAAGCTTTAATTGTGACGTAATTAATGACTATTACATTAAGATTAATGATAACGATAGAAATCGTTTCACGTTGAAAAAATACAAATTGGTACATATAGGAAGCAATTAGTAAAGCAAGTATTTCTCCTAGGCCAGTTTCTTCAGTTTTCAAATATCAATATTCAGAAATAGTTTAATTGGTCCTTGTTCGAAGACATAATGCAATTTTTGTACATTTTTTAATATTCCAATATGAGATCGTTAGAAATGAGATGTGACATGGTGTAACATTTATTGGATTTATTTTTATCTATTAAAACCGAAAGAGAAGTAAAAAAAAAGTAAAATATATGGGTTTTTTGTATTATCATTCTTCAATGGGGATATTTTTGACGTGTATCTTAAGAAAATACAGATCATTTCAGCAATGTAATTATACAATCTTTTGTACTTCGTCTTCTTTTCTTTAAAACCAGACATTTTATATTAAAGATAATTCAAACAGAAAGCATTGCACATTTTTAACAGAAAAACACTAACAACTTTAATATCTAGTTTAATTTCAAGTAACAACAAATTGTTCTTTATTATCATAACCTCATTCCTTTTGTTTTAAAAGGGAAATATATTCATTATCATTACAGAATGTTTCAGTCACCTGAATATTGTAAAATTCTGTCACTGAAATTATCTGAGGTATTAGAGGATGTTGGTGTTAATGAGGAAATGGTGATGAAAAGAAGAAGAATATTTATGCTGAGGGAGAGTTTCCGAACGATTTCATGCAGATCAACTGGTGAAAACAAAACTGATTATTATCTTGGGAGTCAGTCTGAAGGTACCACTACTATAGGACTTGATTCAGATATTGATATGGTAATGGTAGATTATGATTATAATGTGATACAAGACTGGGCAGAGTGGAAACATAATAAGACCAAGCTTATTATGATACAGGATGGGAATGTTACACCAGGATATTGTTTTCTACAACGACTTCGATCTGATGAACCTCTTTTTGAGACAAACATTCCTGATGAAAATTACATAAGAGACAGCATTGGGAGAATATTATTAAGAAATACATTAGTAACACCTTTAATTGAAGAAAATGTTGAGAGACACGGGCCATCAAATGCTTTCTCCGGAGATTATGGATACTCCGACAATGACATTGTAATTGCTTTCCCTTGTGATTCAAAGCTTCAATCAGTATCACTATTTCCAGAAAGACCAGGTGTTATGAGGTGGTTATCATCTGAATGTGTCAGATATGCAGCTAGCTGTGTTTGTTTTGTTGTGGGTACAAGTAGCAAGATTGCTACTTATCCAGAATTAGAGTGGAGAATATCTACTTCTCTACCACAGAGATGTTTGATGTTTAATCTAAATATTACGCAATTAAAATGCTATGTTTGAATGAAAATAATTTTGAAATCCTTTTTGAAAGCACAAAATGTGAGTGTTATTTCAAGTTTTATGTGTAAAATAGATAAATACAGAATCCCTAAAGAAAGCCCAACACGGCAAAATTGAAAATGTTGCAGGCTCGGTTTGATTGAACCTGTTCATGGACGGTACTGGAAAGTGCAAGTTACCGTCCACGCCCCCTAGCACCGGCTTAAGCAGAATTCAACATTTAAACATGAAATAGTAAAATTTTGAATTTAGAAACATCCGCAGATGTGTTCATACGGCGGTTATCATGGAACCTTCAATGTGACACAGCAGTGCCATTCCATGAAAAGCGGCGTATGGTCCCCAAGTAATAAAAGCTTGTGCCCTAAACGAGAAAACAATGGGCGGAAATAAATAAAATGGAATTTTGAAAGGGGATCAGAGGTTATGAAGCCTGCGTATCACAGATAAGACGTCAAAAGACAAATTTAAAAAGCAGGCAACATATCCTAAGGGTGATTCAACATTATTCAAGTAGGAATATTGGAACCACCCAACAAGAAAATGCCGAAAAGTTGAAACTAAAAATACTACAAGCACGACAATAATGTCGTGCTGAACGATCTTCAAGGATCGAAAATATAACATCATTGATTAAATGTACGGGGAGACTTTTTACAGCCGCCACACGGCACAAATAACACGGATGTGATCATAAAAATAGATAAATACAGAATCCCGTAAACCGTTTTTATTACATTGTATAGAAAATACAGAGCAAATCATATGGAAAAAGGGATAATCTTTTTACATGTTTATCATACTGCTTGCTTGAACTTCGTAGCTGTGTTCAAAATGAAAATTGCCCGCATTTCATTATTTCTGATAACAAACTTAATGGCCGGGGACAATTTACAGCTGAAGAGAAGCGAGACGTTTACAGAAATTATGTAACACAATACAGAGCGATGGTTAGATTTTTACTACGAATAAGCATTGATAATATTAGCGAGAGACTACAAGTCAAACTGAGTACAATTGTTCATTTTGCGTGTAGTTTTCAAACCTCACTGGAAATATATGAACACTGTTCGTCTAAACTTTTCATCAGCTTCATGAAACTGTTAAGCGGATGCCAATTACTATTTTTCGAATATTTTTCAAATGACCACATATGTAATCACAAACAACTTATCTTAAAGCTAAAATACTACAGTGTAGAGGGAAATAGACTTGAACAGCTTGCAAGTCGTTATCTTGCACCATTCTTTTATTCCACACTAGGCCTTGTAATGGCGTCATCAAGTATTGAACAGAATTTAACAGTTCAATATGAAGCACTTCAGTGGCTTACATTGGGTTTGAACTCAGATGTTACATCTGGAAGACTAAAACAAGCTTCTATGTTCTACTGTGTAGGTGATATGGATAGAGCAGAGTTCATTCTGAGACAAACTGAAAGTCGATATAACTCTACTGTTGTTGAACCTGTATGTGGCTGCTGGCTTCATCCTCGGACACGTCGGTCAGCTGAATTTGAAAGGAAATGCGGTGAACTAAGTGAAAATTGCATCAATAGTATCACATCATGTTGTGTAAAATTCATGCAGACAGAAGTGAATTGTGTGCCTCGAGAATTACGGTATGAATTGATGAGATCAACACGAGATGATATGGCACACAGAAGTCCATATGAAAGGTTCTGGATGGACCATGCTGTTGTTGATTCCCTCCCTTATCTCTACTTTTTACAATACAAGACATACGGTCATTTACAAAGACATCAGGATCAGCAACTGGCGCTTAGTAACCTTGTGAAGGTTACCTTTTCAGGAAGAAACTTTGGTCACAGGGAGACAGCTCTCAATCTTCTCGGTCAATGTATGGAACAAGAGGACAAACCAAGGGAAGCATTACAGTGCTATATGTTTTCCCTTCAAGAAAGAGAACGAAACAATGCGGCCAAATTTCATATTTGTAATTTACTTAGAGAGTATGTTTCAAATATGTAGACGTTCAAAAATCCCTCTACGGAAATAAACTGACAAAGTTTGAGTTAAACTCTAGAAACTTTGTTAAATCGTGTAATTAACCAAAATGTTATCTCTTTTTAGTTTGCCACAAACGTTTAGTAAATGTGCAGTTATATTTTCGTGTTATATAATGTCACTTTAACAAACAAATCAAAGTTGTATTGTGATCATATTATCATAATTAACATCACATTTGTTAAGTACATGTAAATATGATATAATTTATCCCAGGATAAAATCATTGATGAAAATACAATTTATTATCAATGTGTCTGCTGTTTTTGTTCAAAGTTTATTGTTGGCTTTTATGTCATACTGACACTGTGAAAACTAAATAGAGACTTTGCAGCTTTCATGGTGGAAAAAGCCATCGAATACATTTCCTTGCATTATATCAGGTACAATTGGAGACCCAGGTGGAGCCAAAGATCTTATGTAAGCTATCTGAATAGTTTCCTTACGTGAATGAATTGAACGTCCCTGACAGGATTCGAACCAACAACGGTGATAGCCAGAAGCTAATGTCAAAAACCTTAGCCACACGGGCCCAGAAATAATGAAAATAGAACTATATGTTTCAGCGAAAATCAAAACGCTAGCTAGATCCGAGCAATCAACCGAGGACATCTATTAAATGGGACAACTTCTGTCATCTGATGGTTTTTCTAGTTAGCCTCGGACAAGTTAACCTCGGGGAATATGTCAATTTGTGGACATTGATTGTAGTCCCCTTGGGAAAATTAAAATTGAGGTATCGCATTTTTAGTTAATTATATATTCCGTGTCCGCATTGCTCAAGTTTCTCATATAAAAATATAATGAAATTATAAATTCACGTTTTTTTGGTGCGTAAACCTAATAAACCTAAAGTTTAAATTGTTCATCATCCCCTATAGTTTTTCCTGGGCCCGAGATATTGAGTGGAGGAAAACTATGAGCCCTCTAGCTAAGAAAAATTTTAGGGTGATTCAAACTTTTTGAGGCCCGCCCTGGAATAAATAAATGCCCCCGTTAAAACAAACCATTTAGTTTAAGAAAATTTGGGATGGGTGATTTGGCTATGCCCGGGTCGAAATTTAAATATTAAAAAAACAATTAAAATAAAAAAAAAAATGCATATTGTATTTAATTGTTAAGAAAACCAAAGCATCTCATTTCTACTGCACGACTTGTAAAACGAAACATTTTTAATAATCAATGTATACAAAGAGGTAAGCTTTGCAATATCACTAATTGCCAGTGATACAAAATTACGTGCACGTAAGATCGTGTGATAAATCATTTTTTTTGAAGAGTAGAAAATTCAGAAACGCTAAAAATGGCAAAAAAATTATTAACTCTATCAACCTTAAGCATACAACTGGTTCAACAAATCACTAACCGCAAGTTCTCAAAGTACCTGTATTTGTATTCTACCACTTGGCATTTTTTATATTTAGCAGTTTAAAGTGACACTATACTCAGTTTTGTCATTGTCAAGTTAAGCTGAATAGACTTTATATTTCAAAGATTGACTTTTATATTGGTGATGACTAAGAGTTGATTTTACATGTTTAAGATAATATATAAATCTGTCAAAAGTATAAAAAATACTGCCCACTCGTTTAATAAAGTAAACATTTCAAGTAAATGTCCATGAAAGTTTGCAGGTCACATTAGTTATTTCTCGTGCATGCAAAGTAATACATAAAGTTGAAAGAAAGTATTGAAAAATGTGAACTTATTTTGACTTTAACACTTCGTCAGAATTATGGGCCTTGGACAGTTTCAAATGATAATATTCAGAAGTCTGCATGAAAAACATTAACCCTGAATTTTTCATGTTAAACAAGAGCAATGTTAACATGGCCATTCCCCGCCGAATGTATTTGCTCATTTGAAGAATTTATATGTAGTAGAGCAGATAGCTGAAAATAACAGGGCAATAAGTGAAAACTAATGCGGGATATCAGTTATTGCTCTATATTTTTCATACCTAATTATTTGTCCAGAACATTACTCAAAAGCCTTTGTGATATCAACATATCACAAAGGCTTTTGAGACTTCGTAGGTGGATAGATCTCACTCAGGAGGTATGCAGTGCACAATAATAATAACTCTACCTTCATAATTTTTGAGTACGAAAGCATAATAGTGTCAAATAAAATAAAAAATAAAAATACGCGTTATAACGCGAATAAAGGCGTTATTACGCGAATCAAAAGGCGTAATAATAGTCACATTAGGGTGATTATTGATAAGTATGTTTAAATGGGGGATAGTGTTTCAGTTAAGTCACAATTATAGGAGAGATTCCCTTCTTTGTCTATGTAGAAAAGTATCTATAGTTGGGTGAAAGTTAACCTTTAATCTGACGAAAGCATTTCCTAATAAAAGATTTAAAAAATCAGACTGTGGCCTTAGGACGTATCCGTACAGAATTGAAAATAAAACGTACGTCTTGATCGATTTATTTAGATCAAATTGTTCTTCCTATCTTACATTACTAGGCCACGGTTTAGAATTTATATGGTATTAAATTAGCGTTATAACGCCTTTTGTTTTGCTTTAATATGCCTTTTGGTTTGCGTTATTACGCCTTTTGATTCGCGTTATAACGCCTTTATTCACGTTATTACGCCTTTTGATTCGCGTTATAACGCCTTTATTCGCGTTAGTACGCCATTTGATTCGCGTTATAACGCCTTTATTCGCGTAATTAGGCCTTTTGATTCGCGTTAAAACGCGAATAAAGGCGTTACTACGCCTTTTGATTCGCGTTATAACGCCTTTATTCGCGTTAGTACGCCTTTTGATTCGCGTTATAACGCTTTTATTCGCGTAATAACGCCTTTTGTTTCGCGTTATAACGCGAATAAAGGCGTTACTACGCCTTTTGTTTCGCGTTATAACGCCTTAATTCGCAATATTACGCCTTTTGTTTCGCGTTATAACGCGAATAAAGGCGTTACTACGCCTTTTGATTCGCGTTGCTACGCCTTTTTTCGCGTTATTACGCCTTTTGATTCGCGTTATAACGCCTTTATTCGCGTTTTTACGCCTTTTGATTCGCGTTATAACGCGAATAAAGGCGTTACTACGCCTTTTGATTCGCGTTATAACGCCTTTTTTCTCGTAATAACGCCTTTTGATTCGCGTTAAAACGCGAATAAAGGCGTTACTTCGCCTTTTGATTCTCGTTATAACGCCTTTATTCGCGTTAGTACGCCTTTGATTCGCGTTATAACGCTTTTATTCGCGTAATTACGCCTTTTGTTTCGCTTTATAACGCGAATAAAGGCGTTACTACGCCTTTTGTTTCGCGTTATAACGCATTAATTCGCGTTATTACGCCTTTTGTTTCGCGTTATAATGCGAATAAAGGCGTTACTACGCTTTTTGATTCGCGTTGCTACGCCTTTTTTCGCGTTATTACGCCTTTAGATTCGCGTTATAACGCCTTTATTCGCGTTATAACGCCTTTTGATTCGCGTTATAACGCGAATAAAGGCGTTACTACGCCTTTTGATTCGAGTTATAACGCCTTTATTCGCGTAATAACGCCTTTTGATTCGCGTTAAAACGCGAATAAAGGCGTTACTTCGCCTTTTGATTTTCGTTATAACGCCTTTATTCGCGTTAGTACGCCTTTGATTTGCGTTATAACGCTTTTATTCGCGTAATTACGCCTTTTGTTTCGCTTTATAACGCGAATAAAGGCGTTACTACGCCTTTTGTTTCGCGTTATAACGCCTTAATTCGCGTTATTACGCCTTTTGTTTCGCGTTATAATGCGAATTAAGGCGTTACTACGCTTTTTGATTCGCGTTGCTACGCCTTTTTTTGCGTTATTACGCCTTTTGATTCGCGTTATAACGCCTTTATTCGCGTTATTACGCCTTTTGATTCGCGTTATAACGCCTTTATTTGCGTAAGTACGCCTTTTGATTCGCGTAATTACGCCTTTGGATTCGCGTTATAACGCGAAACAATAGGCGTAATTACGCGAATCAAAAGGCGTACTAACGCGAATAAATGCGTTATAACGCGAATCAAAAGGCGTAATAACGCGAACCAAAAGGCGTAATAACGCAAAACAAAAGGCGTTATAACGCTAATTTAATACCATATAAATTCCAAACAGTGGCCTATTAATGTATGGAAGGAAGAACAATGTTGATTTAAATGAATTGATCTAGATGTACGTTTTATTATATGCCCGAAAGAATTTCGGGCATATTATGTTATACCCCCTGGCGTCCGTACGTGCGTCCGTCCGTCTGTATGTCTGTCTGTCCGTCCGTCCGTAAGCAATTTGGTTTCGGGAGCATAACTTAAGTTCCATTTGGCCCACAATATTCAAACTTCATAGGAGGATTGTTATTTGAAGGAGGTAATACTTTATAACCTATAAGTCACCAAGTCATCTTATATTGGCAAATATTAAAGAGTCTTTATTAGTTTATGACAAATAGTTTGCATAATTACTGTGCAAATGGAATGAAAGTTATTGTAAATGTATATTGTATTATTGTATACGAGTTTATATCTTGAGCAATAAATTCAGATCAATATTTGTCTTTCTTTCTCGCGAATTTGATTAGTATAAATATGGTATTAAATTGGCATTATAATGTGTTATTACGCCTTTCGGTTCGCGTTACAACGCCTTTATTCGCGTTACTACGCCTTTTGATTTGCGTTATTACGCCTTTATTCGCGTTATTACGCCTTTTGATTCGCGTTATTACGCCTTTATTTGCGTTATTACGCCTTTTTATTCGCGTAATAACGCCTTTATTCGCTTTATTACGCCTTTTGATTCGCGTTATAACGCGAATAAAGGCGTTACTACGCCCTTTGATTCGCGTTATAACGCCTTTATTCGCGTTATTTCGCCTTTTGATTCGCGTTATAACGCCTTTATTCGCGTTGCTACGCCTTTATTCGCGTTATTACGCCTTTTGATTCGCGTTGCTACGCCTTTATTCGCGTTCTTACGCCTTTTGATTCGCGTAATAATGCCTTTATTCGCGTTATAACGCCTTTGCATTTTTATTTTTTATTTCATTTGACACTATTAGGCTTTCGTATTTGAGTAATTGCCCTTTGTTATGTTTTTTTTCCTGAGTGGAGCATAACTCAAAAATTCCTTGCGATGTCAACATGAAACAGGTGGATAGATATTTTTGAGGGGGAATGTTTCGCACAAGAATGATAATTCTACCCTTTATAATTTTTGAGATATTACCTTTTTTCATTTCTCATACTTTTTGTCCGGAGCTTATCTCAAAAAAGTATTACAGGTATCAACTTGAAACTTCATATGTGGATAGATTTCATTGAGGAGGAGTGCAGCGCACAAGAATGATAACGCTACCGTGCATAATTTTTCAGTTTTTGCCCTTTGTTATTTTTCATGCTTATTTTTTGTCCAGATAGTAACTCATTAAGTATTAACTATATAAGGTATTTACTTGAAACTCAGAATATAAATGAGTGTCCGTCCGTCTGTCATTCCGTTCGTCCGTCCCACATTTTTGTCCGGAGCATATCTCAATAGTATTTGAGGAAACAACTTGAACCTTCATGGGTGGATAGATCATACTGAGGAAGAGTGTAGTACACAAGAATGATAACTCTACCCTGCATAATTTTTCAGTTATTGATCTTTGTTATTTTTCAAATATAATTTTTGCCCAGAGCATAACTCTAAAAGCCTTTGAGATATAAACATGAAACTTCGTAGGTGGATAGATCTCACTCCGGAGGTATGCAGCGCATAAGAGTTAAAACTCTACCCTTCATAATTTTTGATATATTGCCCTTTGTTATTTTTCATACTTATTTTTTCACCTCACCGAAGCATAACTCAAAAGTCTTGAGATGTCAACATGAAAATTCATAGGTGGATTTATGTTATTAAGGAGGAATGCTGTGTGCAAGAATGATAACTCTACCCTTTATAAATTTTGAGTTATTGCCCTTTGCTATTTTTCATACTTTTTGTATGCTCTGGACAAAAATGTGGGACGAAAGGTCGAACGGACGAAGACTATTTCTATATCCCCGCCGCCTATTCGGCGGGGGGGGGGGTAAAAAGGACCATAATTCTGTCAAAATTCTGTATACCTATTATGCTCACAAATACATGTGTGCGAAGTATAAAAGTAAATATCATTAGTGGTTGATGAAATATGTTGCATGCAAAACTTTAAGTAAAGTGTTACACCGAGGCTTGAGTGAGTAGGATAGCCCTATATATCCTCGAATAGTTGAGGTAAAACTATGATGGAATTTGTCCTTGTTGCAAGTCTTATTTAAGAAAGGGTAATAATCAGTAAAGGTCGCACGTCATTGATCTTGGTCAGTGACCTTCAACTGTAACACTGTAGACGTCTGTGAAGTTTTAAGTGGTCTAATCTAGTAATTCATTTACAACATGAAGTTGTACTGAAAACATTAATCTTTTAATTTCCGTAGCATAACAAAAGTAAGAAGTTTATTTCTTTTAAATTTTTTTCACATTCATATACTAAGTACATACAATAAAAAGGGTAAAATGCGGTTGTGAGGGTTTGTTTCCAGTAAAAATCGTAAATAATACATTTTTCTATAAATAAGAATTTCCACTTTTCTTTCATGAATATGCATGAATGAACTTCTTGATATTGTCTTGTACTAATGTATTTCCTAAGTAATAGTTTCATACATATTTTTTTGTTTTTAAACAATTTGAATATGTTCATTTCTTAAAATTAATCTTTATCATTCACTGATGAAAATTAACTATTGGTTTAGAAACTATAAATGTCGTGTTAATATAAATTTAATTTGCACTCATCTTAAATTCAGTCATATTACAAATGATTCCTTTGTATCTTTAACACATTACATGATGAATTTGTATATTTTACTAATCTTGCTTTGCATTTAAAACCGTCAATCAATTTAAATCCCGTTGATTTCAAAAGACGTTTAGCTATTAAGCTATCAGTTAAATAAAGCCTTACAGACTGCAAAGATGTGCATGATTTGCGTAACTAGTTAATCACATAATATAAAGCTGGTAAAATAATGAAAGGATGGCAGTTGTAGGTACTAACATGCATTTATTTCTTGTTATGACCTTTAATTTATTGAAAAAATTTACTAGTAACGTAACTATTTAACCACATAACCATCGTGTTAATTAAGAGGTTTACTAGCTAGATAACCTCTTAATTCACTAGTTAGTTATATGGTTATCTGGTGGCAGAAATATGCCAGCATAGTTTTCACATATTGATAAAGTATACAAAGCTAAGGGAATTAAAGCTCAAACCATGTAGCTATTCATACTACAAGAGTTATCTTTCTGACTTTTGAAAATCGAAAGAGGAAGTAAAAATTGGAAATTTTACGAATCACCCTTGGAAGTGTTTGTTTACCGTCATAAATATAAGACAAAAATTCGTACAATTAAAAGTAAGTTTAATATATATTTGATAATTTTATATATTAATCATGTATACATGTAGACTACAATTTTCGTTCATTTTCCATAAAATTGTAACTGATGTGTAGTCGTAAATTCATATATAAGGTTTAATTGTGACGAAATTAATGACTATTACATAAAAATTAATATTTAACGGTAGAAATCGTTTCACGTTGGAAAAAATATAAATTGGTACATATAGGAAATGAATCTATGAAGCAAGATAAAAATTAATATTTAACGGTAGAAATCGTTTCACGTTGGAAAAAATATAAATTGGTACATATAGGAAATGAATCTATGAAGCAAGTAAAGCAAGTATTTCTCCTAGGTCAGTTTCTTCAGTTTTTAAATATCAATTTTCAGAAATATTCTAATTGGTCCTTGTTCAAAGAAAAGTAATTGATACATATAATGCAATTTTTGTACATTTTTTAATTTTCCAATATGAGATTGTTAGAAATGATATTTGAAATGGTGTAACATTGATTGAATTTATTATTATATATTAAAACCGAAAGAGGAAGTAAAATAATAAAATCTATGGGTATTTTGTATTATCATTCTTCAATGGGGATATTTTTGACGTGTATCTTAAGAAAATACAGATCAAAACAGCAGTGTAATTATACAATCTTTTGTTCTTCCTCTTCTTTTCTTTAAAACCAGACATGTTATATTAAAGATAATTTAAACAGAAAGAATTGAATATTTTTAACAGAAAAACACTGGAATCTTTAACATCTTTCTATTTCATTTAATATCTAGTAACAACATAAATTATTCTATATTATCATAACCCCATTTCTTATGTTTTAACAAGGAAATATATTTATTATGATTACAGAATGTTTCAGTCACCTGAATATTGTAGAACTTTGTCACTGACATTATCTGAGGTATTAGAGGATGTTGGTGTTAATGAGAAAGTGGTGATAAAAAGAAGAAGAGTGTTCATGCTGAAGGACAGTTTATCAACGATCACATACAGATCATGCGGTGAAAACCTTACTATATATCATCTTGGGAGTCGGCCTGAAGGAACCACTACTGAAGGACTTAAATCAGATCTTGACATGGTAATTGTAGACTATGATTATAATGTGATGCAAGACTGGGCTGACTGGAAACAAAATCAGAGAAACCTACTTATGATACAGGATGAGAATGTATCACCAGGATATTGTTGGCTACAATTACTTCGATCTGATGAACCTCTTTTTGAGACAAACATTCCTGATGAACATTACATTAGAGATAGCATTGGGAGAATATTATTAAAAAATTCATTCGTAGAACGTTTTATTGAAGAAAATGTTGAGCGACACGGGCCATCAAATGCGATCTCAAGCAATGGTAATTATTGTGACGTTGACATTGTAATTGCATATCCTTTTAATTCAAGGCTTCAATCAACATCCCATTCTCTAGAAAGAGCTTGTGTTATGAGGTGGTTACCATCTGAAAGTGCCAGATATGCTGCTAGCTGTGATTGTTTTGTTGTTGCGGCCAGTAGCAAGATTGCTACTTATTCGGAATTAGAGTGGAGAATATCTACTTCTGTAGCAGAGAGATGTTTGATGTTTCATCTTAATATTACGCAATTACAATGCTATGTTTTTATAAAAATAATTTTGAAATCATTCCTGAATGCACAAAATGTGTGTGCTCTTTCAAGTTTTATGTGTAAAACCGTTTTATTACATTGCATAGAACAAACAGAACAAAGCATATGGAAAAAGGATAATCTTTTAACATGTTTATCTTACTGCTTGCTTGAACTTCGTAGCTGTGTTCAAAATGAAAATTGCCCGCATTTCATTATTTCTGATAACAACTTAATGGCTGGACAATTTACAGCTGAAGAGAAGCGACACGTTTTACAGAAATTATGTGACATAATACAGAGCGATGGTAGATGTTTTCTACGAATAAGCATTGATAATATTAGCCAGAGACTACATGTCAAGCTTAGTTCATTTGTTCATCTTGCGTATAATATTCGAAAATCTTTGGAGATACACGAAGAATGTTCGTCTACACTTTTCATCAATCTAATGGTCGAGATAAGCAGACTGATATTACTTATAATCAAATATTTGTCAAATGACCATATTAGTAATCTCAAACAAACTATCTTAAAGCTAAGTCACTTCGGTATACGTGGAAATAGACTAGAACGGATTGCAAGTCGTTCTCTGGCAACTTTTCTTAGTTCCACACTAGGTCTTATAATGGCATCAAAAAGAATCAGAGAGAATTATCCAGTTCCTTATGAAGCATTGAAGTGGCTTACATTCGGTTTGAACTCAGATGTTACATCTGGCAGATTAAAACTAGCTTCAATGTTCTACTGTGTAGGTGATATGGATAGAGCAGAGTTCATTCTGAGACAAACTGAAAGTCGATATAATTCTACTGTTGTTGAACATGTATGTGGCTGCTGGGCTCATCCACTGTCAAGTTTTTCTGTTGAATTTAAAAGGAAATGCAGTGAACTAAGTGAAAATAACATCAATAGTATAACATCATGTTGTGTCACATTCATGCAGGCAGAAGCAAATTGTGTGCCTCGAGAATTGCGGTATGAAATGATGAGATCTACAAGAGATGATATTCCACATAGAAGGATACATGAAAGGCAATGGATGGACTATGCTGTTGCTGATTCCCTCCCTTATCTCTACTATTTACAATACAAGACATACAGTCACCTACAAAGACATCAGGATCAACAACGGGCGCTTAGTAACCTTGCGAAGGTTATCGTTACAGGAAGAAACTTTGGTCACAGGGAGACAGCTCTCATTCTTCTCGGTCAATGTATGGAAAAAGAGAACAAACCATGGGAAGCATTACTGTGCTATATGTTTTCCCTTCAACAAAGAAAAAGAAACAATGCGGCAAAGTTTCATATTTGTAATTTACTTAGAAAGTATGCGTCGAATATGTAGACGTTGAAAGTTCCATGAAAGGGTTTGAGTTAGACGTATGAAAATATGTTAACTTGCGCATTTGTTGTTTCTTGTTAGGTTCCTACAAAATTCCTGTAAGTTTGCAGTTATATTTCAGCATTCTTAACAAACAAACAAACAAAGTTGAACTGTGATCATATCATCATGATAGGAATTATATTTGTTAAGTACATTAAAATATGATATAATTCATTCAAGAATAAAATCATTGATGAAAATACAATTTATTTATTATGTGACCGCTTTTTTTATTTCAAGTATATTGTTGGCTGTTATGTCATACAGGTAGAATTGGGAACCCAGGTGGAGCCACATTTATCATATTTTAGTTATCTGTATAGCTTCCTTACATGAACAATTGGACGTCCCTGGCAGAATTTGAACCAACAACGTTGAAAGCCTATAGCTAATGTCAAATAGCTTAGCCATTCGGCCCTTGAAATTATAAAAATAGAACTATATACTAGTAGTTCAGCGAAAATCAAATCGACAGCTAGCTCCGAACAATCGACCAATGACATCTATTAAATCGGACAATGTCTGTCATCTGATAGTTTTTCTAGTTAACCTCAGACAACAAGTTAACCTCGGGAATAATTGCGGACAATAAGCCTAGTCCTTTGCAGAAAACATTTAGTCGAATGTTAAATATTATATGTATTCGTGTCCGCATTGCTTAAGCGTTCTGATACAATAATGTAATGATTAATATTATTATCAACATTGTTGGGCGTGGCTTAATAATTAAAGTCACTTGTCCATCATCGCTATGTTTCAATCCTGCCAGAGATATTGATGTGAGGAAGCTATGAGCCATCTAGCTAACAGAGTGAAGGTGATTCAAGTGATGGAGCCCGCTAGTGCCAGAAATAATGCACGTAAAACACCATCACTAAGACTGGCATGACGTGATGTTGCCATGTCAGGGTCAATGGAAATAATAATAAACACAATACATGTGGTTCGTGGGATAAATTTTTTATTAATTTTTATGAAAAGTAGAAAATTCAGAAACGCGAAATAGGCAATAAAATCTGAACTCAATTAAGTATAAAATTGTTTCAATACTCGTATGTAGACATATTTAGGTGTCCTGAAATTTAAAATTTGTCCGACAAATCATGAATCGCAAGTTCTCAAAGTATCGATATTTGTATTCTACCCCTGGGCATTTTTAGATATTAAACACTCTTAAAGTGAAACTATACTCATTTTTGTCATTATTAAATAAAGCTGAATAGACTATATATTTTAAAGATTGACTGTGATACTGGTGATGACCAACAGTTGATTTGACTTATTTAAGATAAAATATAAATCTGCCAAAAGTATAATAATAATAATAATAATCTCTTGAAATTTTACAGAACTTTCCTTAGGTCACATTATTTATTGTTCATGCAAAGTAAAACATAAAATTGAAAGCAGTATTGCAAAACGTAAACATATTTTGACTTCACCATTTCACTCAAAATCCTTGTCAGAATTATGGGTCTTGGAAAGTTTCAAATGAGTATCATCAGAGGTCTTCCTGCAAAACATTAATCCTGAATTTTTCAAGTTAAAAAATGACCATAATTCTGTCAAACTTATGTATACATATTATGCTCTCACATACATGTATACATAAATGTTTGAGTGAGTATGATGAACCTATTTGTCTTCGAATAGTTGAGGTAAAACAATGGGGGAATTTGAGCCGGTTGCAAAACTCTTATTTCAGACAGGATAATAATATGTAAAAATCACACTTAAGTCATTGATCTGGTCAGTGACCTTCAACTGTATCACTGTAGACTCTGTAAAGTTTTAAGTGTTCTAATCTTGTCATAACATAAATCTTTAATTTCAGTAGCATAACACAAGTAAGAAGTTTGTTTTCTTTTTTTTTCGAAATCATATAAGAAGTACATACAATAAAAAGGGTAAAATGTATTTAAACATAATAAAAAAAAACTGTGATATGGTTTTTTACCAGTAAAAAAAATGTAAAAACATGTATCTTTAAATGTTTCTTCATGAATTTGCATGACTGAAATTATTGATATTGTCTTGTACTAATGTATTTCCTTAGTAACAGTTTCATACATACTTTTTGTTTTTAAACAATTCTAATTCATGTTTGTATGTTCATTTCTTTAAATAAATCTTCATCATTCACTGATAAAAAATGACTATTGGTTTAGAAACTATTAATGCTGTGTAAATCTTATATCATCTTAAATTCAGTCATCTTAAAAATGATTCCTTTTTATCTTTAACACATTACATTGCTGTAATTTCTATATATGACTTATCTTGCTTTGTATTTAAAAACCGTCAAACAATATAATATCCCGTTGATTTCAATACAAAAATATACACAACAAAAGATGCTAAGCTAATTAAGCTATCAGTAAAAATAAACAAAGCCTGGCCAGACTGCAAATATGTTCATGCTTTGCTTTGTACTAGTGGCGTAGACTTATCACTTCAGTTCACAGCTGGTACAATAGTCAATTCAAAAACCAGCATTTTTGTCATTTTTGGTTTAATTCACTATTTATCAATTTACTTTGATATGAGTACAATATTTATATCAAAAATGGTTCAATGTTTTTCCTCTCTACACTTTAATGTATATATTTTTGCTTTTCTTTCAGAGACAGGCTTTCAAACAGATAATTAAAATGATGAAAAATAAATATATGTTACACTGATATCATATTTCAAATTATATTGAAAATGCATAAGATCCTGTAAAAGTTCATGAATAATCAAACTTTAACAAAGGAAACAATGCACTTCCATTTTACATTTTTTATCACCAAACTTTATGTTGTGAAACCCTAAGCATTATTTTCTGTATATTCAACCACTGAATATAATAACAATCATTTTTACAGCATCAAGATGTTACCAACATAAATACCCTTATTAGAAAAGCTATCACACTTTCCTCCCTCCTTTTACCTTCTGGAGACGTTTGCATATTTTATTCGCACTGGACTGTCTCAATTTCAATCTCATCCACATTTCTTCACAACATCAACACTTCTCAAGTTTCAGCTTGAGTAAACAGTTATTTAATGTTTGACTCAAACCAGAAGTCCAAAGCTTCATTAATTAATTGTGTTGTCAAATTTGATATAATTTCAAGTTAAAGTTTCATCACTTCATGGTCAAACTTGCATCCTCCACAAATGTTTAATACATTTCAAAGTCAAGAAAAATTTTCATATATGTATCTTTTTAAGCTTCGTGTACTATCTATATTTAATTTTAAGCAAATAACTTAAACATGACTTCAAGTAAAATTTAAAGTTACTGTCCTGTATGCTAAACTTAACATAGATTATACATCGAATAAAAAACTCTTTCTTTTTGAAATCGTGATTATTCATCAAGATAACGCAATGGTACGGTGGTGAAAGCACGATGGTACGATGGTGAAAACGCAATGGTACGATAGTGAGAGCTCGATGGTACGATAGTGAAAGTGCGATATCACGATGGTGAAAGTGCGATATCACGATGGTGAAAACGCGATGGTGAAAACGCGATGGCACGAGGGTAAAAACGCGATGCTACGATGGTGAAAATACGTTGACGCGATGGTACGATGGTGAAAACGCGATGGTTCGATGGTACAAATGTTTTTGTAAAGATTATCACTGTAAATCACGGGTGGCCTACCAATTGACTTTTGTACAGATTATCATTGTGACTCACAAAATTGGATTTTTTGCTGTGGTTTCATTTACAGTCAAAACTAGGTGAATGAAATATTGTAACGTGACAAAGACCACGACTATTTCCCTTCCTTTAAACCCAAATTTAATACAATGTCATAAAAAATTTTTCAATTTTTTAAAGCTTAAAAACTTTTTAATTTATTAAAAACCAAAAATAAAAGTAAATTTAAATTTTTAAAATTTATTAATTTTTATATCCTTTCCGATTTAGGGAACTCAACTAATAACTAACTATAAAACCCGGGAGGCACCCCTTTGTTTAAATTTAAAATTTTTTTTTTTCAGAATTTATCCCCTATTTTTTTTTAAATTTGAAATGGCAATCGAGGTTTTTCAAAATTTTAAATTTACCGGAAAACAAGTTTAAACAAACAGCCCAAAGGGGTGAAAAAAATGTCCCAAAAGAAAAAGTCGACAGGAAAAAAAAACAGAATTTTGTTTTTTCTTCATATTGCGTCATCTTGAACAAATATTGAAGTAAACCGTAAAACCCCCCGTTAAAAAGAGGATTAACAAATGGGATAAAAAAAAGGAATTAATAATTATTTTTTATTCATGATCATCATTTAATAATTAACACGTTAGCAAATGCACTGCTGATTTAAAAAGCTCACTTCTATTATTACTTTGTAATAGTGCAATACATTAATATACTCTGGTTTACAAAATACGATAGTTTAATGTTAACGCCGCATATACCATGGACATATAGAATAAAAATAAAATTCATTTTCTAAGTCTTCTGCTGAACAAGATTGACAAATCAAATAATTTCTTTGTATTTTGTTTCGAGTTAATATCTCAGTCTTTGTCTTCATCCTAATCATAAGTCGCCTGACGGAGAGACTTATCGCCGTTATGAGTTAGAGAAGCTAAGATTGTTATTTTCAACCCTTCCACTTTATTCAAGGTGATACTTGTTAACAACATAAGCAACGCAATAAAGTACAAATGGGCTGTCCGTCATTGTGTGGCTATCCCGCCTCATTAGACTGATGAATTCAATATTTAATATTCACGAAAAAATAAGACTAAAGATGCCATAATTATGGTCTTTTATAACATTATATGATATGATATGATATAATATAAAATAATGTTATATGATTTGATATGATATGATATAATATGATATCATTTTATTTATTATATGATCTAAAAATAGCTGCAATCTCATTGGTTCAAACATTATGTTTATATATTAAATATATACATTTTGTGAGAGAAGGGTACTAAATGGTTTTATTTCAAAATCAATAAAATAAGTGTTATTCATTTAAGACATATATATTCAGAATGAATTACATCTCGAAATTTATTATTGAATACTTGACGATGTCTCAACGATAAAGATTTTTATTTTCTCGTCCAACAGTCCTTTTGTAAAATACATCGAAATTCTTTCTTTCAACTTGTAATGTAAGTTATGATGAAAAAAATAAAATTATTCTTCAGTTGATGAAAACATATTTGCTGTTGTTGTTCTTTAAATATTTTTTACAACTTCATCATTGGCACTATCACTTAATTTACCGATGGTCGGTGAAAAGAAATGCAGAGACAATCATATCTTTTCACAACTGTCTTCAGCAATTTTTTCACAAGTTTAATTACTCTTTTTATCAAAATAAAAGATGTTTTCTATGGTGGCATATAGCCATATAACTAACTAGTTAATTAAGAGGTTAACTAGTTACGTAACTAGTTAACCTCTTAATTAACTAGTTATTTATATGGTTAACTAGTTACGTAACTAGTTATTTTTTTCAATAAATATAAGATCATAACGGGAAATAAATGCATGTTAGTGCCTACAACTGCCATCCTTTTATTATTATACCAGCTTAATACTAACTGATTAACTAGTTACGTAACTAGTTAACCACATAATTATCTAGTTAATTTAGAGGTTAACTAGTTATATGGTTATCTGGTGGCAGAAATATGCCACCATAGTTTTCACATATTGATAAAGTATACATAGCTAAGGGAATTAAAGCCCAAACCATGTAGCTATTCATACTACAAGAGTTATCTTTCTGACCTTTGAAAATCGAAAGAGGAAGTAAAAATTGGAAATTTTACGAACCACCCTTGGAAGTGTTTGTTTACCGGTCATAAATATAAGACAAAAATTCGTACAATTAAAAGTAAGTTTAATATATATTTGATAATTTATATTTAATAATCATGTATACATGTAGACTACAAGTTCTGTTTATTTTCCATAAAATTGTAGCTGAAGTTTTGTCGTTATTTCATTTAAGCTTTAATTGTGACGTAATTAATGACTATTACATTAAGATTAATGATAACGATAGAAATCGTTTCACGTTGAAAAAATTGCAAAATGGTATATATAGGGAATAAATCTATAAAGCAAGTAAAGCAAGTATTTCTCCTGGGTCAGTTTCTACAGTTTTAAATATCAATTTTCAGAATTATTCTAATTGGTACTTGTTTATTGTTCAAAGAAAAGTTATGGATGCATAATGCGATTTTTGTACATTTTTAATATTCCAATATGACATTGTTAGAAATGACATTTTAGATGGTGTAATATTAATTGAATTTATTTTTATCTATTCAAAATCGAAAGAGGAAGTAAACAAATAAAAACTATGGTATTTTTGTATTATCATTCTTCAATTATGTATTTTTGACATGTATAATGTATTAGGAAAATACAGGTTATTTTATCAATGAAATAATGCAATCTTTTGTTCTTTCCAACCAGACTTGTTATATTAAAGATAATTTAAACAAAAAGCATCGAACATTTTTAACAGAGAAACACTGGAAACTTTAATATCTTTATATCTCGTTTAATATGAAGTAACAAAAAATTATTCTATATTATCATAACCTCATTCCTTATGCTTTGACAAAGAAATATATTTTTATCATTACAGAATGTTTCAGTCACCTGAATATTGTAAAACTTTGTCACTGAAGTTATCTGAGGTATTAGAGGATGTTGGTGTTAATGAGGAAATGGTGATGAAAAGAAGAAGAATGTTCATGCTGAGGGAGAGTTTAGGAACGATTACATACAGATCAATTGGTAAAAAGAGAACTTTGTATCATCTTGGGAGTCAGATTGAAGGTACCACTACTATAGGACTTCGCTCAGATCAAGACACGGTAATTGTAGATTATGGCTATAATGTCATACAAGACTGGGCAGAGTGGAAACAAAGTAAGAGAAATCTTCTTATGATACAGGATGAGAATGTTACACCAGGATATTGTTTTCTACAACTACTTCGATCTGATGAACCTTTTTTTGAGACAAACATTCCTAATGAACATTACATAAGAGATAGCATAGGGAGAATCTTATTAAGAAATACATTCCTAACAAGCTTTAAGCAAGAAAATACTGAGCGACATGGGCCATCAAATGCTGTCTCCGGGGTAAATGGATACCGCGACATTGACGTTGTATTTGCTTTCCCTTTTAATTCACAACTTCGATCAGTATCACATTTCCTAGAAAGACCCGGTGTTAAGAGGTGGTTATCATCTGAAAGTGTCAGATATGCTGCTAGTTGTGATTGTTCTGTTGTTGGTACTAGTAGCAAGATTGCTTCTTATCCAGATTTCGAGTGGAGAATATCTACTTCTTTAGCAGAGAGATGTTTGATGTTCAATCTAAATATTACGCAATTACAATGCTATGTTTTAATGAAAATAATTTTGAAAACTTTTCTGAATCCCCAAAAGCTGAGTAATCTGTCTAGTTTTATGTGTAAAACCGTTTTATTACATTGCATAGAAAATACAGAACAAAAAATATGGAAAAGGGACAATCTTTTTACATGTTTATCGTACTGCTTGCTTGAACTTCATAGCTATGTTCAAAATGAAAATTGCCCGCATTACATTATTTCTGATAACAATTTAATGGCCGGACAATTTACAGCTGAAGAGAAGCAAGACGTTTTAAAGAAATTATGTGACATAATACAGAGCGATGGTGGATTTTTACTGCGAATAAGCATGGATAATATTAGCCAGAGACTACAGGTCAAGCTAAGTACATTTGTTCATATTGCATATAATATTCCAACCTCACTTGAGATACACGAAGAATGTTTGTCTGATCTTTTCCTCTGTCTAATGACGGAGATTAGCGGAGGAATAATAACGCTAATTTATAACTTGTCAAATGATCATCAATGTAATCTTAAGCATATTATCTTAAAGCTTACATACTACAGTACACGCGGAAATAGAGTGGAACAGTTTGTAAGTCGTTGTCTGGTACCATTTTTATATTCAACACTAGGTCTTATAATGGCGTCATCAAGTATTGAACAGAATAATACAGTTAAATATGAAGCACTTAAGTGGCTTACATTGGGTTTGAACTCAGATGTCACATCTGGCAGATTAAAACTAGCTTCAATGTTCTACTCTTTAGGTGATATGGATAGAGCAGAGTTCATTCTGAGACAAACTGAAAGTCGATATAACTCTACTGTTGTTGAACCTGTATGTGGCTGCTGGCCTCATCCAATGACAAGTTGCTCTGCTGAATTTAAGAGGAAATGCAATGACTTAAGTGAAAATTGCATCAGTAGTATCGCATCATGTTGTGTAAAATTCATGCAGAAAGAAGTATATTGTGTGCCTCGAGAATTGCGGTATGAAATGATGAGATCTACTCAAGATGATATGCCATATAGAAGTGTGCATGAAAATTTTTGGATGGACTTTGCTGTTGTTGATTCCCTCCCTTATCTCTACTTTTTACAATACAAGACATATGGTTATCTACAAAGACATCAGAATCAACAACTGGCACTAAGTAACCTTGTGGAGGTTATCTTTACAGGAAGAAACTTTGGTCACAGGGAGACAGCGTTCAACCTTCTTGGCCAATGTATGGAACAAGAGGACAAACCAAGGGAAGCATTACAGTGTTATATGATCTCCCTTCAACACAGAGAAAGAAATAATGCGGCAAAGTTTCATATTTGTAATTTAGTAAGAAAGTATGCTTCAAACAGGTAGACGTTCAAAGTTCCCTCAACAGGTTAAATGACAAAGTTTGAGTTGAACATTAGAAACTGTTGAATTGTGTATTTTACAAAATGTTGTCTATTAAGTTTGACACAAACTTTTAGTAAATTTGCAGTTATATTTTCGTATTATATAATGCCGTTTTAACAAACAAACAAACAAAAGTTGTATTGCGATCATATCATCATGATTAGCATCACGTTATCTAAGTTACGTGTAAATACATGTATGATGTAATTTATCCAAGGATAAAATCATTGATTGATTAAAATACTAATTATTAACAATGTGTCCGCTGTTTTTGATTGAAGCTTATTGTTGGCTTTTATGTCATACTGATGCTGTAAAAACTAAATAGAGACTTTCTAGCTTCCGTGGTGGAAAAAGCCATCGAATGCCTTTCCTTGCATTTTATCAGGTACAATTGGGAACCCAGGTGGAGCCAAATATCTTACGTTAGCTATCTGAATAGCTTCCTTACGTAAAGAATTGAATGTCCTTAGCAGGATTCGAACCAACAACGGTGATAGCCAGCAATTAATGTCAAAAAACTTAGCCACACGGCCCAGAAATAATAAAAATAGAACTATATACTTCAGCGAAAATCAAATCGACCGCTAGCTCCGAACAATCGACCGAGTACATCTATTAAATCGGACTTCTGTCATCTGATTATTTTTCTCTAGTTAACATCGGACAACAAGTTAACCTCGGGAATAACATCAACTGCAGACACTGAGACTAGTCTTGTGCCGGTATTATTAAGTCGAATGTTGGATATTATGTGCATTCGTATCCGCATTTCTTAAGCATTCTGATATAAATATAATGATTATTAATATTGACGTTGTTTTATGCGGGGCTTAACCAGCCAGGAATATTGTGAGGAAGCTATGAGCCATCTAGCTAACATAATGTAGGTGATTCAACTCTTGTGCCCGCTCGTGCTAGAAATACGTAAAAGGACCATCACTAAGACTGGATGATGTGGACATGTCAGGGTAGATGGAAATTAAAATAATCACAATACATTGTATAATTATATATTAATTAAGAAGTATTTCCTTTCCTTTAAAAATTACATACTGCATGACTTGTAAAACGAAACATTCTTGGTAATCAATGTATACAAAGATGTAAACTTTGCAATATCAATTATTGCCATTGCTACAAAATTACGTACACATACGATCATGAGGTCCGTGGGATAAATTCGTTTTTTTTTTCTTTTTTCTTTTTTTGAAAAGTAGAAAATTCAGAAACGCTAAAAAGATCAATAAAATCTGAACTCTATATCAACTTTAAGCATAAAGTTTTCAATACTCGTACGTTGACATATTTAGGCACCATGAAATTTAGAATTTGTCCAGCATGATCTCAAAGTACCGTTATTTGTATCCTACCCCAGGGCATTTTTTAATATTAAACAGTTGAAAGTGACAATATGATCATTTTTGTCATTGTCAAGTAAAACTGAATAGACTTTATATTTCAAAGATTGACTGTTATACTGGTGATGACCAAGAGTTGATTTGACATGTTTAAGATAAAAATAAATCTGCCTAAAGTATAAAAAATACTGCTAACTTATTTGATAAAGTAAACATTTCAGGTTAATTGACATGCAATTTTGCAGAAAATTCCTTAGGTCACGCTCATGCAAAGTAAAACATAAAGTTGAAATAAAATATTGCAAAACGTAAACTTATTTTGACTTCACCAGTTCACTCAGAATCCATGTCGGAATTATGGGTCGTGGAACAGTTCAAATGAGTATCTTCAGAAGCCTGCATGCAAAACATTATCCCTGAATTTTTCAAGTTAAAAAGGACCACAATTCTGTTAAAATTCTGTATACCTATAATGCTTGTGAAGTAAAAAGCAAATATCTTTTGTGGTTGCTGAAATATGTTGCATGCAAAACTTTAACCAAAGTGTAACACAGAGCCTGGAGAGAGTAAGTATTCCTCAAATAGTTGAGGTAAAACAATGGGAGAATTTGTCCCGGTTGCAAAAGTCTTATTTCAGAGAGGGTAATAATCAGAAAAAATCACACTTACGTCATTTATCTTAGTCAGAGACCTTTAATTGTAACACTGTAGACGTATGTGAAGTTTAAGTGGTCTAATCTAGTAATTTATTATTAACATAAAGTTGTACTGAAAACATTAATCATTTAATTTCAGTAGCAACACAAGTAAGAAGTTTATTCTTTATTTTTGTCTCATTCGTATATGAAGTACATACATTAAAAAGGGTAAAACGTATTTTAACATACTTTAACAACTGTGATATGGTTGTGAGTTTTTTTCCAGTAAAAAACGTAAATAATACATGTATCTATAAATAAGAAATTTCCATTTTTTTTTCATGAATATGCATTAATGAACTTCTTGATATTGTCTTGTACTAATGTATTTCCTAAGTAATAGTTTCATATATACGTTTTGTTCTTAAACAATTTGAATATGTTCATTTCTTTAAATTAATCTTCATCATTCACTAATAAAAATTGGCTATTGGTTTAGAAACTATAAATGCTGTGTTAATATTAATTTAATTAGCATTCATCTTCAATTCAGTCATATTACAAATGATTCCTTTGTATCTTTAACACATTACATGATGAATTTGTATATTTTACTTATCTTGCTTTGCATTTAAAACCGTCAATCAATTTAAATCCCGTTGATTTCAATACAAAATTATACAAAACAAAAGACGTTTAGCTATTAAGCTATCAGTTAAATAAAGCCTTGCAGACTGCAAAGATGTGCATGATTTGCCCTTTACTGGTGGCATAGCCTTTACACTTTCAGTTCAAACTGGTACATAGTGAGTTTAAAAAACTAGCATTTTGTCATTATGTTTAATTCACTGTTAATCAATTTACTTTGATATCAACAAAAATATTTCCCGCTTTCCTCTCTACAGTAAATGCATATTTTTGCTTTTCTTTCAGAAACAGGCTTTCAAAAAGATAATTAAAATGATAAAAAATATATATATGTACATTTATATCATAGTTCAAATTATATTGATAATACATAACATCTTGTAAAAGTCATGAACAATAAACTTTAACAAAGGAAACAATACACTTCCATTTTACATTTTTATCACCAAACTTTATGTTGTGTAGAAAGTGTCTCCTAAGATAAACTCTACGCATTCTTTCTGTATATTCAACCACTGAATATAATAACAATCATTTTTACAGCATCAAGATGTACCAACATAAATACCCTTATAGAAAAAGCTATCACACTTTCCTCCCTCCTTTTTGTTTCTGGAGACGTTTGCATAGTTTATTCGCACTGGACTGTCTCAATTTAAATGTCATCCACATTTCTTCACGACATCAACACTTCTCAAATTTCAGCTTGAATAAACAGTTTTTTAATGTTTGACTCAAGCTAGAAGTCTAAAGCTTCATTACTTATGTCACAATAGGGACTA